TTGTGACTCAACACTTTTAGTTGGAACCAGCCCCAGAAATAAAAAAGAAAGAAAAGAAAGAAAGAAAAGATGCAGGAAGCAGTGTTGGTCAAGTTACTCGGAAATAGAAATTAGTTATTGGTTACTCCTCCAAGAAAGTAATCCAGTTACTTTACTGATTACTTGTTTTCAAAGTAATTAGTTACTTTAATAATTAGTTTACTTACTTTACATTTCAAAAAATATCAACCAACCAAAGTACTCTGTAAAGCAATTGTTTTTGTCATTTGTTACAGCGTAGAACTCAAAATAATGTTGGTATTTCTCTGCATTTAGGGCTCCATAGTCCTGCTCTCTCCTGACCTCCATGTTCTTTCTTGTCGATCGACACATGCGGCCGTTACCACTGACGTCACTGCGACGTCACTGTCATGTCCGACAAACAAATTCATGGATTAGTACCACAATAATGCAGCCTATCTGAAAGAAGGTAACAGTAATTAATTATTGTTTTTACAATAGTCATTACACATTACCAATAAGGGTTAAACATTTATTGCTAAAGATTTGTGGTTTGTGGTTCCAGTCCATGTATGTATTTCATGCTTCAGATAGATGGTAGTACTGTAGTAATTTACTGTAAATAACTAAATTGTGAAAAAAAACCCATATATTTTCAAAGTCTCCATCCTCTCAGGTCCATGCTAGTTTGCCAAGCAGTATTTCATAAAATACAACTTTTAATGTTTAATCTCTTCCACAGCTGAATGCACTGCCGACCACCTGCTGTTTCCTGTTAGCATAAATCCAACGCTGCTTCTCTCACTGCGTTTCCCAAAACAAAAACAAATTAGCATGTTTATCCATACAAGCTGCTAATGTCTGCCCAGTGATTTCAGCCAAGCACTCGATCGGTCCAATGGTGCTCATCTGCCAAGTGCTGGTCCTGGATCAGCTACAAGTTAGAAGAGTTTATCTTGTCTTTTAGGCTGCTTTAAATTCACGGAGCATGTTCAGAAACGTGACAGACGACACAGGAAACGGGGACATTTTTATGATAGTGTTTGTCCATATACAGAATATTTATACCATTTATAGGCAAAGAACAAGAGGAAACACTAAGTCATTTCCCTGTTTACGCATCTGACAAACATGAAGCGGCATCCACAATCACTGCACTCATGTTTCTGGCCACTTCACTGGCTCATGATTGGTGTTTACTCTTTTTTTAGCTTCATGTTTGGTCACCGGAGGTTCTCAAGATAAACATGTGGTTTTTTTTACGAGTCCACAGTGTCTTAAAAATGCTTTTTCTTTTGCTTCATCTCACTGTTGCTCAGCCTTTTTGGCCTTTGTGTCACTTTATGAACCTCCCTCACACTGCACCAAAGTCCACAGAGAGAAGTGTTAATTTTAGCCTGTGGTTCCCAGGAGGTGCTGATTCTCTGCTCTCCTCCAAAACCCATCATTCATATATGAATTTGTACGACTTCTGTATTTGAAGTTTTGATTTTGCTTACATTCAACTTAGTATATGGATCCATGTAAGATCAGGTCGAAGATTTTCTTAACAATGCTTGGTGTAAAGGAAAGAACATAGCATACTTATTTGAGGTAAGATTTTTCACGAACGGTTTTGACCCCTGACCCTGACTTGACTGGGGTATTATTTAAAGATTGGTCATAACAGCTCCTCCGCGTGGACCAGTTTCAGCTCCTGCCTGTCCTGGTCAGTGAGGATGGAAAAGGACAAAAACAGCAGAGATGCTGCAACAAACAACCTCCACGTTTACTCCCACCTCACCCTGACACACCGGCCCTGGCCCCCTGTGTCTCTGTAGTTATATATAGTTTCTCTCCAGCAGGGCTGTCAGATTGTATTTGTGTCAGGTTCTCCGAGTTTCACACACTTCACACCTTCCAGAAAACTCCAGGTTTTCAAACACGGGAGCTGCAGACGATAACGATGGTCCTGCTGAGTTTGTATGAAGTGTTGTCCAGAAAACTGGCACTGAGGTTTGTGTCTTTATAGACAGGTCACTCCCAACATCCATCCATCCGTCCGTCATCTACCACTTATTCCTTTTCAGGGTCAAGGAGGGAACTGCAGTCAATCCCAGCTATCTATGGGCAAGGGCGGGGCACGTCCTGGACAGTTGGCTAGTCCATCATAGGGCCACATATGGATTTAGAGACTTCATCATTTTAGCAAACAGCTTTAGTCCCTCTTTTTCATCATTTTTTTTATCATGTATGGGGATGCCCAATATTACGATTGAAGGGTTCCATTGGGCAACTGGACGTGAAACTCTTTAATCTTGACCGTGACCTGGATGACTGAAAATCTTCATAGATATGTCCGATATTAACTTTTTGCTAATATCCGATATGCCTAATTTCCGATTTTGATATCGAACAATACCGATATACGCAGCTGTTTTCCCCTTAAAACTGCGCCAAACGTCTCAAGAAGTCCACAAGCTATTCCAGTTTATTTGACGAAAAACCCAGGCATTGCATTCTCAGGTTTTCGTTATTGGTAAAACCAATAACGATTCTTACAGATATTATATAATGATGCAAATATCAGGCTGATAATATCGGTTGGCCGATATTATCGGACATCTCTGATCGTTTAATAATCTTTTAACCTTTTAGGCCATTTTTCCTTACATAACTTAACCATCCTGCAGGAGGGAGGGGCAGGAGCCCATGGACCTTACAGTTATGTTAATACAAAATTATTGTGATACTTTAAGGTGAAGATGTATTCAATTAGTACAGGTATATTCTGACAATAGGAGACAAATTCCCACATACTTTGCCTTTTAGGATACCCCAGATCATTGTCTTTCCAGATCCTTTTCTTCTGTTCTTAGTTTTCCCCATGTTGAGCACTGTGGTAGCTGCTTACCAATTTGCAGATAAGAGGCTTTTTCTCAGTAGAAGCAGCAGATCAATAAACCAGCCACGGTAAGCACTCATGAATGACTGATGGTGGAGAGCGGCCTGCTGCTGTTTGCTGAGAATAAACACACCTTTGCTTCTCTTATTAAATCAGATAAAGTATGAAAGAGTCTCATATATGACTCTGTAAGAGATACGAACACAGCAGAGAGCAAAAAAGGAACAGGTTCCGGCCACGTAACTAAAGGCTGGCACAAACGGTCACACCAAACTCCATAGAGAAAATCAGCGTTTTTAGCTGTGAGAGAAAAAAAAGCAAGAGTAACATCTGCTTCCTCCGTCAGTGCCAACACAACCTACTGCTGGAAAAAAGCAGCATTCATTTGTCAAACTCAGAATGCAATTAGAGTGGATTAGAATATGAGAAGGAGTCCAACATTAAAACGAACATTAGTCTGTGTTGAAAATATAAAAAATACCAATAAATGTGTAATAATTTTTAGTATTCTTGTACCTCAGCAGAAAATTTTCACATTTATCTAAGAAGGAGTGTTAGTGGAGTTTTCTTGTTTAACTTCTTTTTCTCTGGTGAAATTATATAAACCTGCTTCATTTATGGAACAACTATTAAATACATGTTTTTTACAAGTCTTGGCTACAGGTTGAGCTATTCTTTAAACAGCCAGTTTAGAAATTCTTCTCTGATTTCTTCATAATCCAGCTTTCTCAGCCATCTGGCATTGTTCTTTAGCCACTGTGCTAAATGTTTATGTAATATTTTGGTTTGATTTGATTCTTTTTTTGTATTCTTTAAATTGCAACCATTTCAAAGTAAATAGTATTTTCACCTGATTAACATATCTCTGTGCTAACTTTTAGCTTAAGTGGGATATGATTATAAAAATTCATATCATATGATGTCCTTTTTTTTAAGCTTAATGATTTCTCTTCTGAATTAAAATATTTACAATTAACAAATACAGGTTTTAGGTTCAGAAGTACTGGACTGGATCAATACATTTAAAACAAATATTGTTGTCTGTAGCCCAGCTGTTTTCCCAGGTCATCCTCCCCGTCTTCTCTCATGTGATCTCAGCACATTAGCTTTATTCAATTATTCACTAACCTGCTCCATTACTCTCCCTCTGCCTGGTTTCACTTGTATCGATGGCTCACGGGGAAGAAAATGGCACGGAAGGGTTTCTGATCCGTTTAGACCGACATGTTCACCACATGATGGAAATGAAGCAGAGTGGAGAGCTAATGATTTTAACGAGACATGAGGAACCCATTAGCTCTACATACAGTACTGCTTTCATTCTACAAGGAGCAGCGCCACCTGCTGGTATGAGGGGTAAAAAGAAGGTCACAGTATAATCATACTGTAGATTAGCAGATATATCTAAAAGCTGCGTTTGTCAAAGTGTGTTCCATAGTGTTGTGCTTAGCACGCCTGACTCGACAGCAGAGTGCAGAGAGTCCTTGGTTTGATTCCCAGAGGAATCTCATGCTTGATTGTTAATTCTCACCTTGAAAGATGCTTTGGATAAAAGCATCTACCAAATGTAAATCAATGTGTTAATTTTTAAACTAATCCTCTTATTTTTTTCTCTTTAGTTGTACCTCTATATGAACTTACGTTATAATTAGTCAGTATAACTGGTTTACTTATCTATATTGTTTTAACAATTATCTTTTTGCCTTTTGCTAACAGATTAACCCCGATGTTAAACTTATTTTTTAATCTATTTTAGTGTGATATGCAACTCAATTTTAACAACTGCAACCACTGGCTAGTCATCGTCTAAAGTCTATTTTTTAGCTACATATTTAAAAACAAACAGTTATTTATGGACTTTTTATATGTATACAGTGTTCAGTAACTTTTATATTTCAGCTAACATTTGGCTCGTTGTTTCATATTTGTAGTGCTTGTTTTCTTCAGAAGCAGGGATGGAATTTTCCTTAAAGGAAAATCCCTGTCATGACCCATGACCGTCACTGTTTTCCATCACTGGTATCAAACTCTTGTACAGATGTCAGCTTCTTTCTGTTCACCAAAACAACAAGGTTGAAGTTTACCCTTGTGCTATGATTTTCTCTGTCTTTCCCAGGTATCAGCAGGTTCCTGTAGTACTGGTGGGTAACAAGGTGGATCTGGAGGAGGAGAGGGAGGTGTCACCCAGCGAGGGCCAGGCATTGGCCGAGGACTGGGGCTGCCCTTTCATGGAGACGTCAGCCAAAAGCAAGACCATGGTGGACGAGCTGTTCGCCGAGATCGTCAGGCAGATGGACTTCTGCCCTCTGCCTGACCGGAGAGAGGCCTGCTGCCCAGCCTGCAGTGTACAGTAGCAGTCCCTCCATCTGATGGAGGAGGTGATGGATGACAGGAGGGGAGAGAGCAGAGGAGTAACTCATGCAAATGATTTAACGTTAGACTGATTGAAGATGGAGGCTGCAGAGTTTCAAGCCAGTCCAGGCCTTACATTAACAGAGAAAGTCCATTGTTTGCAGTATGAAGTACTGACATGTAGTGAGTGATGAACTGTTTGTGTCAAGTCTGAGAAATTGATGCTTATTATCACTAAAAGCATTATTGTCATTTGGCCACATGCCTAATAAAATCCTCCACTGCTTTCTGCACCAAAGTCCATAGAAATATATGTCATTTTATCTCATAGTTCACAGAACTGTTGATCCACTGCTTCAACCTACAGTCATTTCAGATTTCTTTTTATTGAATTAAAAATCAATTCTTTGATTTGAGCAAAGTGACACAAACCGACCACGTCACATAAAAGTAAAATCAGCTACTGTTTCTCTACAGGCTAAAATTGCATGTTTTCTCTATGGACTTTTGTGAAGGAGTTTCTGCCATTTTGAGCCTTTTGTTAAGTGGCTAAAATATGTTTTTGTTTTTTGTTGCAAGTATGTTTTAAGTGACTGCAAGCCTGTGTACCTCAGGCGGATTCTCGGACGAGGCATACGTGGCACAATCGGTGACTATAATGTATTAGAACTACAAAGAAATCACATCTTGTCTTTTTCAGCTAATGAGAATAAAAAGTTTGGGTAAATTAAAGAAGAATGTGAAGCAGAGAGTATTGGTCCAACATCCATCATCATCCTGCTGGAGTTTCCCCAAAGGCAGCACGGTGCCAAAACCATCTTAAAAGCCATGGATGAAGCCGATCATATCCTAAAATGCTTTTGGGAAACCAGCCATAGATCTCAGCAGTGGTGACAAAGTGTGCAGCACTTTTCTCCATCCTGAGTGTTTAGGGTTTTTTTTTTTTTTTGCACTTTTAGGACTCACTAAAAACTGAACAATCACGTATTATCTGAAGGATTCAACATGGACGTCGGCATCACTAGCAAAGGATGAATGACTGATCACGTGAACAAATGTCCAAACTATTAGGATAAAAGCACCTTTTTTTGGGCGAAAAAAAAAATCATGAAAATATTTCACCTGTTGACTTACTGTGGATGACGTGCGCATGAAGTCAACCAGTGTCACCCAAAGAGACTGTATTGGTACAAACCCTATTTTCAAAAACGTTGGTACACTTTCTTGAAATTGCAGTAAAATCTAAAGTCGGTAATTAGGTCGTTTGACTTTGACGTTAATTCAGCTGTAATGTCCACAAACTGATGGAGAAATGGAGCAAGGATTTGGTTTGAAAAGATCCAAGGCAATGTATTTACAATCCTTGGTACTTTGGACTCGCAAGTAATACACAGGTTCATATATTATTGTGGTTTGTTTATTTAGCAGTGGTGAGGTGACTTTGTTTGCTGTGCTACTGCCATTTTAGAGATAACATCGTATGTTATTGTCTATTTAAAGACATTTACATTTATGAATAAAAATTGGGGGAAAATATTTGAAAAATTAACAAATTCATCAATTAGAAGGACATTTTAATTTGACATGTAATTTTAATGGACACATTTTATTTGTCCAACATAAACTAATCAAATGTAATACTGTTAAAACTCACACTCCAGAAAAGAGGAACAGTAGCAACTGGAACATATTCTCTACTCTTTAACCTGCCAATTCTTGCACCTTAAAAGCTGTGAGCTGTTCAACAGTCAGTGGTGCTCATCGTCTGGTTCTCCTCTTCTTAATGGGCCAAACATTTTCCACAGGGACCTATCTGGACTGCAGGCAGGCCAGTCGGTCACGCAGGATATGTGAATTTTTGTCATTTTTTAAATAATGTTTCCTGTTGTTGTTTTGTTCAGCGTTTAGAGTTAACTTTCTAAATTGTTTGGATGTTTAACAAAAAGAACTTAGTGATCAGTGAAAACATCCTTATTTTTCTTCCTGCGGAGCACATGGTAACATCAGACGCTAAACCACACATTTGAGTTTTTATCGCATTTCAGGAAACGTACCAACTTTTCTGGAAGAGTTGTTTGTGTATCAATTGACAAGTAATTTGGTGACAAACGACTGTCTTTTACAAATGCCTTGTTACCTTCTGAGGTGTCGGTGTGTAGCTCATTAATCTTAATTCACAGCTGAAATGTAACAACTCCACATGAAAAACACTTATTTTCAACAAAAAAAAAATTAAACCTTTATGCACAACGTTCTGCTGTGTATTCATTACTGAAGTTCCTCTTTACATTTTCTCTTATTTACAGCTTTGGACAATATCATTGCCTCCCCTGGCCATTACATTTAAGCCCTTATTAACCTTTTTTGTAATTTGGCTCCAAGTGGTTGTTGAAAAATTGTTTTAATTCTGTCTCTTGTCCCTTTGGCTCTGAATCCTGGTGCTACTTTACTGCAGCCTTACACTACTTGTTGTATCTTGGTCAGAGAATTCAACATGATTTGTCATATTTCGGAGCACCATTACAGTAGAGTCCATTACCAATCAAAGACTCTTAGAAGCCAAGTGGCTGAAATAATAAAAAATAAAGTCAATCCTTCAACACTTATTATACGCAAAGCAGGTAATTAGGAAATGAATAATGGGGAGGATCAATAAATGTTTAAAGCTTTTACTGTCAGCGATTATTTCAGCAAATCCTAGTAAATATTATGTGCAGATTTTCTAAACTTTCGCCCAGTGGAAACTAAATCACAAACTGATGAACTGGAATTTCAAGTATTATATAGATATTTGTTCAAATGTGGGCACGTGCACAATAACATAAAAACTGAAAAACATATTGTTGCCATACAATTGATGGCAATTGAGTGCAAAAAGAAAGCATTTAAAATATTCAAATATGGAATCAGTCTGAAAATCAGAAGTAACCAATATCAAAAATCGATTTTGGGATTCTTATCACTATATAACTATTACTAAGCATTATCTGAATTAATATATCTAAATAACATTAGAATGTTAAAATACTCTTTAAAATATTTGAAACGACACGAAACTATGGTTTTAATCTGACTTGTTTCATGAAATTAAGGTTTCTGGCGTCTATTTATAAAAACAATACCGACATCTGCTGTCAAAATTTAATACAGCATGTCATAAAGAAGGGAAGGCGGAACACTTCTAACCCACGTTTACGTCGGACCCAAATACAAGTTACACAAAGCTCGTGCATGGTGCCCTTCAATCACAGGAGTTTGTGAAATTGTCTTTGCTCTTTTTGCCCCCTTTTTAACTTTTTGTTATTATTTTTCATGTATTTGTGAAAATAGTTGTTCCACAATGACGACGAGGACCGTGTGTCGTTTTCTTTATCGCAGTAAGTAGCACATACGAATAGCATTAGCCTGTTTGACAGTAGCATCGATAACGAGCCCGTAGCTTTTCTTCTTCTTTTCTATGTTTTTTATATATTATTTTTGATATTTTATATTTATGTGCAAACAATGTTGAATCTCTGTCAGGAAACACTGCTGTATCCAACAAAAGAACGTCTTAAGTACTGCGACGTAAATGATATTTATTTAAATGACAATTGTGTAGTAAATGTAAGGTTTGTCTGACATATACGTGTAAGTAAGGTAAAAATAAGAACAACTAGTAATAGCAATAAATAACAAAGGTAAGATATTGGAGTCATTACCTAGGTTTGTGGTCTCCATTTTCATAATATTTTAATAAAATTCCCTCGTTCTCCTTTATTTACCCTGTAACTGATTTAACTGTCGGAATCATTAATTACCTCAGTCAAAAATGTGTCTGTCTTATTCACCTTTAAATTATAAAAAGTATCAAAGCAGAATGTACTTACATTTGTGTATTTTACAGAAGTCTTAATTATATTTAGTTTTTTGTATAATTTCTTCCATCCTGAGTTCTTTGTGGTTTCTCTCATTTTCTGAAGGATTCTCATCCACAGCAGCAGCAGCTGTGCGTCCAGCAGCCGCTGAGGTTCGTAGCCACCGTAACGATGTTTTCTCCAGAGAACAGGCGCGACAGAGAGGTCTGTACCCACGCATCGAGAAGATCGAGGTGTCCATGAATGGCCCGGGGCTGCATGGAACACTACTCATCATGAACAAAGGGATGTCCACACCGCTGAGCTGTGCACGACGTAAGAACCTGACATACAGTACCTTAGCTCTGTTGAAACCAAATGCCTTAACCTAACTTGTATGACTGTAATGATGTCGTAAATGTTTCTATTTCCATCAGATTTGACCGAGTATCATGTAAATAATTCAGTCCTGGCTCTGGTAGACGGTGAACTCTGGCCTCTCCACCAGCCGCTCACACAGTCGTGTTCACTCACTCTGCTCACATTCAAAGATAATGACCCAACACAGGTCAACCAGGTACACTGACAAAAAGTTGTTGTTTGTTATAAAACATTATTAAATTCTCTAGATTGTCAGTTAAAAAAAATACTTGAATATTTGTCTCTGTGAGCAAGTGACATCTGTTTGGTTCTTCCAGGCTTACTGGCGTTCGTGTGCTGCTTTACTGGGTCAGGTGTTGGAGACTGCATTCAAGGACACCTACACTGTGGAGCTGCTCAGTACACCTGAGGTTCCAGGTACAGAACAGTCTTTGTTGAACCTGGACACCTAGGTTACAGACCATAGGCTGTGACACAGCATTCGATTTTGTTCAGTTTGATCCCACTCTTTTAGCATCTTCCTTAGAGACAATGTCTTAGTTCGGTACAATACCCTTAACCACCACCTAGTGGACTGAAGCAGAACAGCAGGTTGTCATCTCTAAGTTGTTGTGACTGAGTAAAAAAATGTGTCTGGTTTTAGAAAATTGACCTAAATCAATGTTGTTCCATTAATGAATAAAATTATTTTAATTACATTGATGGATCAGTTTTTCTTTTTGTTTACTTGTTTCACCACAGTAACTGCAGGAGCTTTCTGCTGCGACGTGGCACTCGATCCACAGCTGGATTCATGGACTCCTACTGATGTGAGTGTCTCTCTCTCTCTTTTGCTCTCTCTCTCCTTCTCCCTCCCTCACTCCCTTTCTGTTGTTTCCATCTATTACTTGAACAAATTTACCTTTTTTTATCAGACAATGTGATTGCAGCTTACACTAAAAATAAATTCTCCTGCAGCTAAGATATCTGAGCTTCCCCATATCTCTACCTTGTGTTTAGACAGTCAGTATTTAGGGGTAAAATGATCTTTGTTTGTATGTTTATCTTAACTTCATCTGACATTAGTGTAGATGTTTTATTTGTAAAAAAAAAAAAAAAAGTTTTTTTTTTTTTTTCCGCTAGGAGACATTACGATCTCTGACCCGTGGTGCTCTGCAGCTGGTCCAGCAGGATCTCCCCTGGGAACCATTGGAGGTGGCGCCCTCTGTGGCCCTGGATGTTTTCTCTCACAGCAGGTAAACATAGTCTTGAGCTTCATCAGCCTCTGTTTGTATTCAGTCTAAACAACAACTTGACCTTATTTACCTAAAACCTCAGTTTATGCTGAAGCTTTTGTCTCTTTGTCACAGGTTTAAACAGAAAGAAGTGGAAAGGTTTGCAGCAGAGAATTCCAAAGGCACAGTCATGCTCTACAGGTGAGATGAGAACACCATGAGGTCATGGTCACATTATCACCTTTGCAACATTTCTTTCCACAAATATAGTGTTACTTCTCAGGTGTGAAATAAATACAACGTAATGATGTGTGTTGTAATCTAAGCTGAGATGAGAATACTGAGTGTTTAAGATAAGATTGCAGTAAGCCAGTGTGAAATAATGGCAGAAAATGAGGGAATGTATATTAATTACAAAATGTGTCTCTCATGCACGTTTTTTATTTATGTTTAACATGAAATAATTTTGTCACACTGATGTCTAAATTAAGCCTGATTTTTCTTTTAAATAAATTTCCAGCGTGTTTTTCTTCTCCCAGGATTTATCTGTGATAATTCTCTGTTCACTTTATTAGATACTTCTATAAATATTTGGCTCCAGACTCTGATTAAAAAATTCAAATTTTTAACACTTCATCAGTCAGTGATCTTACTGCTGCATCATCGTGTCTTGGCTTTTCGTGCTGTTCCCTCAAGTATCTTGGCTTCTGACCTTCCACAAACACCTTTTTTTTCCTGATCCAGTTTTTTTGGACTGCACAAGATTTAAATTAGCTTCATCCACAAGAAGCTGCCAGGTCTTGAGCCAGATCTTAGCTGGACATCTGCTTTCTCTAATTAAAAATTCAGAGAAACTTCTCACTTAAATCTTACAGTTTTGTTGCTTCTCTATTTTTGCTTTTCTATGTTGCATGTAAATCCTGAATTAGTCAAGCTGTGAAAGATGTGCAGTTAATTATATTATTAGTTAATTAATATATATTATATATAAGTTTTATATTAATAGAAAAATAGTTATTTACAGACCACATTGGAGGTGGCGCCCTCTGTGGCCCTGGATGTTTTCTCTCACAGCAGGTAAACATAGTCTTGAGCTTCATCAGCCTCTGTTTGTATTCAGTCTAAACAACAACTTGACCTTATTTACCTAAAACCTCAGTTTATGCTGAAGCTTTTGTCTCTTTGTCACAGGTTTAAACAGAAAGAAGTGGAAAGGTTTGCAGCAGAGAATTCCAAAGGCACAGTCATGCTCTACAGGTGAGATGAGAACACCATGAGGTCATGGTCACATTATCACCTTTGCAACATTTCTTTCCACAAATATAGTGTTACTTCTCAGGTGTGAAATAAATACAACGTAATGATGTGTGTTGTAATCTAAGCTGAGATGAGAATACTGAGTGTTTAAGATAAGATTGCAGTAAGCCAGTGTGAAATAATGGCAGAAAATGAGGGAATGTATATTAATTACAAAATGTGTCTCTCATGCACGTTTTTTATTTATGTTTAACATGAAATAATTTTGTCACACTGATGTCTAAATTAAGCCTGATTTTTCTTTTAAATAAATTTCCAGCGTGTTTTTCTTCTCCCAGGATTTATCTGTGATAATTCTCTGTTCACTTTATTAGATACTTCTATAAATATTTGGCTCCAGACTCTGATTAAAAAATTCAAATTTTTAACACTTCATCAGTCAGTGATCTTACTGCTGCATCATCGTGTCTTGGCTTTTCGTGCTGTTCCCTCAAGTATCTTGGCTTCTGACCTTCCACAAACACCTTTTTTTTCCTGATCCAGTTTTTTTGGACTGCACAAGATTTAAATTAGCTTCATCCACAAGAAGCTGCCAGGTCTTGAGCCAGATCTTAGCTGGACATCTGCTTTCTCTAATTAAAAATTCAGAGAAACTTCTCACTTAAATCTTACAGTTTTGTTGCTTCTCTATTTTTGCTTTTCTATGTTGCATGTAAATCCTGAATTAGTCAAGCTGTGAAAGATGTGCAGTTAATTATATTATTAGTTAATTAATATATATTATATATAAGTTTTATATTAATAGAAAAAAAGTTATTTACAGCCCACATTCATGACGGTTTTATTCTGCCTTTTTTTTAATGAAAATGTCTGTACAGGTGTGGGGACCATGTACTGTTGAGTGGGGGCCCTCTAGTGGCCAGGACAGGGCTGTGTTCACAGTATGAGGTGACGGCTCTTCACAGCTTGGGTCAGGGGCCCTGGGGGTTCCACCGCCGGGCACAGGGCCTGTCGTTGCCTGCGCAGCTCATGGTAAAGTAATTTGGGGAATTATGTTGTTAATTTAATTTAAAGTTAATTAAATTAAGAATTTGTGGCTGTTTTCCTACAGATTTCATAATAAAATTAATTTTGATATTACCATCAAGAAACGTACTCAGTTCTGTCCTTCTCCTCTCAGGCTCATCACACAGTCTGGAGGAAACTCAGGCAGCGAGCAGAGAAACTGGTAAGAACATAAAATAAAAACTAATATTTTCTCTGGTGAATCAGCAGTGACTTCACAGCTGAAACTCATGGGAACAGATCTCTCTCTCACACGCCAGATCATCTACTCTGCCGTCACTTCAGATTTTTACGCAGCTGTCAGAGGTGGAAGATTTAATGTAGCTATTTTTATTGCTGTGTGTTTATTATTTTGGCAGGGAAAAACAGAGGCAGTGAAAGATGTAGCATAAAGTTGAGGTGAACGTGAGTTTTTATCCTCCTCACGGAGAAACCTTTTCCTGAGCCTCACTTCAAAAGGACAGTCAGTGACTGGAGATCAAAGCTGTGTCATCAAAACCCATTGAAGTTTCTCATCAGCCCAACACTCAGAGTGAGATCTTCTCTATCTGACTGCAAGCCAATGTGACTTAACTCTTCAAAATTAATCTGTAAGTTCATTTCAAATAGAGTAGTGCAGCTGGAACTTATTTTGCCTGAGGATTTCTTACATCTCTCTCTGCTGCTCTGATTTCTTCATGTGGAAAAAAGTGAAGAAATCAGTGATTTGGCAAATGATGACAAACGCTTCTCTGTGGCCTACATTTTATTTTCAGATACAGTTATTTTAGGAATGAAAGTCTGGCTTCATTAAAGCTTCAGAGTTGACGCCACGTTAGAAGTTTCCTGGAGTGAAGTCTCTCTAGCTGTAGGATGCAGTGCTGCTGCAGCCGCAGCTGGACTGAACTTTTATGTCCTGTGAGGACACGTACGCTGTGGTTTCACCTCACTCAGGAACACCGATGTGACGTGCATGGCCGTCTTGTCCTTTTTGTCCCACCAGCTTAGAGCACATCAGTGCCAATAATCAGTAAAGTGGAGCTGATGTGGAAGATGTCTGGAGGACACTTGTCCACGATCACTTTCAGTATGCGCTGGCAAACACACTCTTGTAAGGATAGAAGACCAGGTGTGGTCCTATGGTCTGGTTCACCATAGAAGACACAATATGTCACTTAACCAATGGCAGCGGTGTATTTTTGTCTTTTAAAAAAGATTTTTTTTTTTTTAATTTTGGTTTATTTACTTTTCATGTCATTAAGAGTCAAGAAGTGTTAACCATTTTTAGTAGTAGCAATTGAGGAATAAGGTCAATTTTAAATTAAAATGTTTTAATGAAAGCACTATTATAAATAAAGTTAAATAAGTTCATGGTAAAAGAAATGAATAAAGTTAGTAAGTAATAACTTTTTAGGCATGGTGGTGAAGTGTGTAGAACAAAAGTAGCATTTAATTTATTGTAATCTTTGTAACTTGACATAAATAATAATTTGAAATAACTCTTAAATTATCAACAAATTTGAACTGTAGTATAAATTGTTAAAACTGTTGAATTTCTTTTTCTAATGTCATGTGGAAAAGTAAAGATATATGAGGTGACATTTTGAAGAACATCTCCCTGAAGCAGCTCCACAGGAACGTTGTGCCTCTGTGCAGAACTCGACCAGAACCAGGTTTTTTAAAGCACTGAAGCGTAGGCTGGGTGTGTTTGAGGCGGCTGCACGCGGCAGGGAAGCATGTTCCCCCGTTTACCTCCAGCTGGCGCTCCAACCTGACCGCCCACACTGCAGACAGACGCATTATCCCAGCAGGACACATTGTGCCTCCACATCTCTCTGCAGTAGAAGTTGTGTCTTCTCTTTAGAGATGATTTTTATTCCATTTGAAGCCGAGCAGATGCCTGTGATGAGAGGAAATGTAACTCAATCATTCACATGTGGTTTTCTCTGCACAGGTGCAGGAGCCCAGGAATGAAGGAGCAACAGAGTCTCCTGCTTCTGACTCTTCTCCACCTCCGAGCGGCCCGTGATGACCTGGGGTTAACCTCCACTTTCACACACACACACACACACACAATTACGCACTTAGAGAAGTGTCTGGATTTATTATTTGTTCAATAAATGTTTAAAGGAAGTAAATCACCACAAGAATTGCCTTCAAGGTCGACCCAAACTCTGTGTTGCATTGTGTATTAAAAGGACAGATTTTAACTGTCCCTTGAGGACGAGCTTGTGTCCAGCTGATGTTTGGTGTGTAGGAGGGAGCAGGATAAGTGGAAATGTGAGTCTGTGTGTGTCTGTGTGTTTGTGCGTGTCAGCAGTTTGCTGCAAAACAAGAAAAAGGCGCGTGTGTTGGCTGAAGGTCGAGCAGCACAGCACAGTACAGTGCAGTACGGCCGAGCAGCTGTTGTGTCTATCGCTGGTCAAACAGGTGGCTCCAAATCCTCCAAGTGTGTTCAGGGGCAAGTGTGAGAAAGTGGGAGTCGGCCTCGGGCCTCAAGCTTCACTTTCTCCCAGAGCTCCATGTGTTTCCAAACCATTAACTTTACACGCGGTCTTAAATAATCAGAGCTGGAAAAAGTCATGGATTGACATGAAATAAAATGTTGTGTCAATACTGAGTTTTTTTAACCATGCACATCCACAGAAGATGATTGGTTGTCTGTCCACAGATGTTTGGAACAACTTACAACAACCTACTGCTTTAGAGCTCCATAAAGAACATCTGTGAACTAAGAGTTGAGGCTGTTTGGATTTTTGATTCTCCTTGAAATTTGTCATCGATCAAAGATAAACTATCAACACGGTTACTGTATTTCTAACTTCACAGCTTTTCTTCCTGCACTATGTCACAAATGTGTGTTTTTCTAAATAAAACTTTTATCTCAGAGTCAGGGTGAGTCATATCAGAGTCGGCCAGGCTTCATTTTTTGGTTGACTCACAATCATAAAATTATATAAAGGTTTATAAATTCCACATGTCCTCCTCAAGTCCTTCATCCAGGTTCGTGGACGAAACGTTGCTGTTGGATGAAGTTTTTCCCCTGGACAATGAAGAAAGTGCAGTTTCTAACCTTTATGAACAGGTGTTACTGCAGGCGATGGTTGTGTCTGTGTACAGAACATTTAGTAGAAAAGAAAAATCTGATTTCTGTGGAGGCCACTGTTTGATCCCTTTGTGATTTTATGGCATTTGCATATTGTCGTTAATTTTGTCCCAGATGCCTCTGGGTGATGCTGCATGGCTAGGTATCCCTGCTGGAAATGAAGCCCAAAACCATGATGGAGCCTTTCCTGGGTGGTACTGAAGGTACTCAGGTAGATATGATAACAAATCCAACCATATTTTTTAACCTGGAATTCATCATTCCCTGTAAGATAATCACATAAGTTAATCATTAGCCTTTTTTTGTTTACCTTTTCTTTTGGCAGCAACACTTCTATTAAGTACATTTCCTGTCAGGCCTAAGAAAACTTCCAGTTGAAACCTGAGGTGAGGTGAGTTCTTCAGATTCTTTGCTGTGAACCTTGTTTTTTCTGTTTCTATGATATTTACTTTTGGTGAGCTGGTTTAGATCCAACAACTAGTCATAACTGAGTTGTTCTGGAGATTTTCAGTGACACAAATCTTTTTAAATTTCTGGCTCTTCCTGTGGTCATGTGCCGACAGCAATGTAGTAAATTATTTAACCATAATTGGTTCAGAAACCAAGATATTTCCAAAGACTCATGCTTTAACAGCAATGTCAGAAAAATAAAACGCAGGGAAGAAGAGAAAATGTCTGATTGAAGGCCTGGACTTAGATGAAGTCTGAGAGCAGATGATAAAAGATCTGCTTTGTTAGTTTGTTTGTTTTTTAATACAGTCAAGACTTGTTTTCAGGCCTGAACATTAGTTAATACAATCAACCCTTAAGAGATCTATATTTAAAAAGTGGCTACACATTTGTGTGAGTGTACAGGTGCTGACACACCTGCCGATGTTTAGTCACCACCACCGGTGACATAAAGACAATTGAGCTGCTCCCCACAGATTTACCTCCTCCTCCTTCACCGCCCCTCCTCCTCTTCCTCCTCCACAGTGTTTATCTTACAGATCCCTCTGTATCAGGTTGGTCTTTTCTCCTCTGAGTGTCTTTGTACGACAAAGACGAGCAGAAATAAAACGGCTCTACTTGATCTTCAGTATCTCGTGACTTTTGTAAAGAATATTCTGACTAATTGACAGCAAAGCCCTCAGAGAAGTTTGTGAGTGCAGCTGCTGCACCAACTCAAACCCCCACACCCGACACACTCACATACAGTGAATGAGACACACCCTGACACACACACACACACATGCCTCCTTACAGCCGCTCATCACTAGAGCCAAGTGAGATGTTTGTAATAACGCCATAAATTCCTCCCCCCTTTGCTGCTGCTGCTGCTTCTCATCTCTCTGCTCAAAACTCACTCAATATAAAAAAAACACCACACTCTGTGACAATGCAGTACTGTGAATATAAGTATTATCTATTTAACTGCACAGTGGTTAATGAAATCCAGTGTGAAGCTCAGCACTTAATTAGTCAATAGTAATTGATGGTGGAGTCATTGATCAGCAGGGCTGTGGTAAATGACTCAGTAGGTGGCGTGTGTGTTTGTTTTTCTACCCACTCATGACCTGTTACTAACCAGGGTTGAACTTCTCTGCTGGAAAAAAAGAGGGAAAGAACTGACTTCAGGTCAGAGCAAGGGCAGATGTGTTTAGTTCACTGGCCACAACCTCACATTTTATTTACTCCAGTGCTTCATCCTTACATGTCAAAGAGATACTTCAGGGGAATGGAGGTGCGACTTTATGAGGCTCTGACACGTTTGTAGTGCTGACTACGTCACTAGAGGAAACAGCTTTCTTTCAGAACCAGCTTGAGGCACCAACACAGGCTCTCACTCAAAACATGACTCCCAGCAAAGCTAAGCAGAATTGATATGTTTTACCAGGAGATGAACTATTTATTTCATTAAAGTTTATCACTTTGTTTCACCTTCATAAAAGGTTTGTGTGTCTTTGGGAGAAAACACGTTGTTTTGTTCTGTGATCAGCACTGAGCTTGTAGCACCCAGCCCTGTAGGTGGTGCTGAGTACTCACGGTTAGATCTCAGGCTACGGCCCACCCGTAGCTTGATAGGCCCTCCGTGTAAGGGGTAAGAACCCGTGGGGCCGGAGTGGGTGCTGGCTGTGCCACTTCACTCCCCAGGTCCCTCACTCGAGACCGTCCTCCGGTCACCTGCGTTTCTGCCTAGGCCTATGGTCGAGGTGACTCGTCCAGCTCCTGACTGTCATCCGTCTGGGTGTCCGCCCCGCTGCCGCCGCACGTGCACTACCGAGGAACAGCCTGGTGCTCGGGGTGCTCCATGCGACCACACTCATTCATGACAGCTCACCTCTCATGATCCTGGCACTTGTTGATTGCCGGAAAAGGGTTTTAAACACCTCAACGGTGTCAGGGGCATGTAACTGGGTTTTTCAGAGAATAGACTTAAACCAGTGGTGAATCTTCACAGATCAAAATATAATATAAATGTGCTGTGGCGTTGTGTCAAAAATAAAATTATATTCTGAACCTGTTGCCCACTGGTGGGAGAGGACACAACCTTAGGCCCTCGGTACGTTCAGTCCTCACTGCTCCGGAAGAGCCGACGCCCTAAGCCGCCCAGTACGGGGCTGCTTCCCCCTGGGCGAAGCACTCTTGTGGTCTGATGGCAGTTGTGGCGAGAGGAAGCAGAGAAATAATCCAATTCTTTCTTGTTGCGAAACAAACTCGGAGAAATAATCCTTCTTCACTCCGGCTTAGTCGATAAAAACTTTTCTGCTCCTCTCGTGAGTTCTTTCAAGTCCACAATCCTCCTTTCCTGAGGCATGACAGGGTCCTGGTGTGAGGGGGAGAGATGAAGCACAAACTGAACTTTTTAGCTCTTGCACCTTGTATTTATACAGTACAACAACAAAAACATTCTTTACTTTTTAGGCCTTTCCTGGACACTTGTGTCCATCATGTGCATCATGACCTGACCACTATGTGAGTCATGTCCTGAACATCCTTCCTGTATATTTCCAACAGTTCACACACTTCTCCTTTTTATTCTTAAGATTGACTGTGTACCACAGCACTTCTTTTTATTTATTACACAATTATATTACACAAATCATAATGTTAATCACAACATTTCTAAACTCATTGATTTCAGCATTAAGCACTTCTTCTGACTCTTATATCAACCACTTCTTGTCAGAGGATCATTCTTTTAGTCTCAGTTTCAGACACTCTCCCTATCTTGCGTTACCTGCAGATATATTCAAAAATATATTCAAAAAAGTATAAATGATTTTATTTCAAGAAATCACACATTCTTTCTATGCCTCATTATATAAATCACTGTATTCTTTCCCCTAATCTTGACTGTTCAGACACATGCATTGGCAGCCATTAGCAAGTAGCATAATATTGGCTTGTTAACATCTAGCATGTTAGCGCTCCTTTAAAAGTACCCTAGTACGTATATAGCCTCTCACGGGCATGCTAGTGGTATGCTAGCATGCATTGCTTAGCATTAGCTTAGCGCCACACCAGCGTATTGTGTAATTTAGAGAGCCAGTCTTTACTATTGCAAGACTAAGATCAAATTTATATAGCTGCTAACACCTTGGCCTCTTTCCATTTTTAAATCAATGAATTGGTCAGAAAACTGTTATGTGTTCACTGCAAATTGAACTTGTTCATCAATGCGACCGACGGACAGAACAATTTAATACTCTCCCACTAATGAGCAGCAGATGGATATGGAAAATCTTCATATGTGTTCTTCAATTCCTGTGAGTATATTAGCCCATGTTCAACTAAACAGGCCAAGGTAGAATACTGTGTAAGAAAATTAAACCCATGTATTTTCTAAGGCTGTTCTATGTTCTGCAGCTTTAACTTAGAAGTAATATGGATTCCTTTAGTGCACAAAATGTCAAGGACAAAATGTAAGCCTTCTCCTGAACTAAGTTTTTTTTATTAAGGCAGGAAGACCTTTGGACTGTTGGACAAGGCAAAGAAAATATTTTGGCCGCAAATATGTTTTTCATGTTTTGATAATATTGGAGAATCATGGGACCCCCATACAGAGGAGGAAGGTTAAAGTGCACCATAAATCGAATGTTCATAAAAAAGTGAAGATTTTAAAAGAAACCCTGAGGTAGTCAGAAACAGAACAAGGTTTGTTTTCTCTTTGGTCTTTATTAAACCAAAACAACCTGGTGTGAATGTTCTCCACTATATCTAAAAGAATGAAAGTGATGTAAATGAATGTTCTGGAATCCCTGGGAACAATTCAGTAGAAAAACTGCGGAGTGCACGGAAGAACATGATCTATAGGAGACCATCAAACAGAAAACTTTATGAAACCTGAACAAATATCGACAGCTTTTTAGATCATATCGTAATCGTTCTTTATTTTAAACCATTTGGTATATGTGTAAAAAAAACAAACAACTAATGTCACTTTGTGCTATGCTTAAATTCCAGCGTTCTATATACTGTATATATTTTTGAAAAACATTCCTGGACACTTGTCTCCAGATGAAGACCCAGGTTCACCCTCACTAACATTCTGGAGTGGACCCAGACACACCCCTGGGTCTGACTGGTGTCTGATCGTTGTCTTGTTACGCAGCTGACGCCAATCCCGCGACCATTTGGCAGTGCAGTGCGCGTCTTGGACACGGCGCTGCGCTCTCGGCGCTCTACGACTGAGAGCTCACCCCGCCCTCCACCCACCACCTCCATCTCCACCTTCAGCCACCACCTACACAGCTCCACGAGAGGGACTGAGTCAATTCACCGGTGTCAGTGGCCGCAGCCAAGGCGCGCTTCTCCTTATCTCCAGCCGGTTTTCCTCCTCTTGCTCCTCCGCGTGGCTCTGCGCGTCCTGTTCCCCTGCCCAGCGCTGCCCTGCGCCGGGTCGGTCCCGGTCGCGTTCCCTCCCCTTGGAGAGCGGGGTTTCTCTCTGGGAGCTGGATGAATCATTGTGGAGTGGAGAACAAGTGCGACAAGAAAGCTGCGGCTCGCGTGTCTGCCTCCCAGCTCCGTCCAGAGAAGAGACCGGAGAGTCGGACCGAGGAGTGGACCATCATGGAGGGGACGTCCCTGTGTCTTCCCATTGTTATTCTACTGATGCAGTGTAAGTAAAGAGTGTCCACTGAGGACAACCAACAGTTGCTCTCTTTGTACTTGTGCAAATCATGGAAAAGCGGTTGCTTTAATTTATTTATTCTTCAGTTTTAATTTTGCCTCTCTCCTTAGAGGACGCTTCAGTTTTTCTCCCGTATTTGTGGTAAAACCATGTCACGAGTTTAAAATGTGGTTATAAGAAGTACAGACTGTGGTGTGTGAGCCCCCTGACCCACACCAGCCTGGGACCATCCTGAAGGCTCCACACTCAGTGAAGTCCCAGCTGTAGAACTGGGACAAACCTAGAATAACATCTTCCAGTAATTATTGGGCTGTTTTTAGAGCTGGTTTTCTAAAAACGTGTTTGTTGTTTAATCCTTTTTCTTGGAGCCTGGATTTTTTTTTTACTTTTTATCATTTTTGTCAACCTCATAGTTGAGGAAAAAAATATATTTAATTGTTAAATCCCAGCACGTAAATATAATGGTCTCACTTTTGTCTGAATCTTTAAGTATTTGTTTGTTGTTTTTGTGATTGTGAGATTTGAATTACTTGACAAGATTTGTTAGCTTGACCCAAACCAACCACATGGGGCAGCAGATGACCAACAACTCTTGTTTATATGGAAGTTCAAAATGGCAGATTTTCTGAGTAGGATTGTGGCAAACTAGATTTTTTCAGATTAAATGCCCATAAAAGTAAAGATTTATCTCAGTCACTCTGGTGTTAAGTGACTGATGTCATTTTTTTTATTTATGTGTCTTTGCTGGCAGCCATGTTTTTACTAAGTGAGCAAACATTGGGGTTAATGGATTCAAAATGGAAACTGCTTTCCTGGCTCACAGTTATTGGTATTTATGAGTCATAATGTTACCAAGAAATTTAAATCAGATCTGAGGTTCAATAGTTGAAAAAAAAATTGTGAATTTTCATCGTCATGGACAATAGCGGTAAAGAATCTGTCCTCAACGGACCAGGGATAAAAAAAAAAATTCCTGCATCATTAAAGATCATTCCGACAGTGATTCCAGAGAGTTTCCTGTGTGACTGTAGGCTGACGCTGCAGTCAGGCCTTAAGTGTCCCTGCAGAGTAGTCCAAAACAAAGGTTGGCCTCCTGCCACCTGACGGGTGTAGCTGGGAACACACTAGTGGCAGGTGGGCTGCTCTGGCGAGGGAGGGTGTGAAAAACATGCATGAGGTCAGTCACTGTTTGGATGGATACCAGAAAGTTCAAGCTGTGTGTGTGTGTTAGTGTGTGTTAGTGTGTCCATCCACAGCAAGAGACTAAAATGAAGATCAGTCCGTGTGCTGGTCAAACAAACGTGATGTAATGAGACACAGTGACTGATGCATATTCTCCTTAAAATAACTGTCCACAGTGATATTGTTGCAGAAATATAAGGAAACTATTTAAATGGCTGAAATAGCGCATGCATTTTTATATCATGAAATGATACTACAACAGAATAAAATGTATAAAAAGTATTTTTTAAAAGTTACAGATTTTGTCATTGAACACAGAATGGAATTTGCAGAATAAATGTAACGTTTCAAAATAATAGAATGATAGCTACTCTAGTTACAAAATATATGTATGATATAAGCCTGTGGGTAATATTGTAACAGACATGATGTGTTTTTCATTAGAAACACATTGTTGTGTTTATGCTGTGATTTGAAAAAACATAATCACAATAAATTTAACAAGGTTTAAGTGGTAGTGGTACAAACCAGTGTTGAAAAGTTGTTGTAGTGGGACAAACGTTGTTTTACCAGTGTTAACCAAAAGGGTTAAAAAAGTAACATTAAATACACCGTGATAAATACTTACAACCAATGTCATACAAAATATTATAAAATACTATAATATAAATTACACAAGTAAAGCTAAATGTTGGCCAAAAAACTGCTAAACATTGCCAAAATGTACCTAAAAGTAAAAGTAAATCCTGAGAACTGTTACGTTAGCAGAATAAACATTAGGAAAGTGGATTCACCAGAATCTATCAGAAATTTCACTGTAACTAATTTTACGGGGCAAAAAAAAAAAAATAAGGAGAAAGTGGAAACATCCCCCATCAGTGTCTCAGGCACTGTGTCTGACTGAGACAGCTGTTGCTTCATAGAGTTACCGTCTTACAGAGGGGCTTTGTTCAGACAGAACACACACACACACACACACACACACACACACTGTCCTCGCCCTGTTTTCCTCTGTTGCCCCCACAGCCTCTGTTATCTGCATCGCGCAGGACGTTTCCTCAGAGCTCGTCTCCCTTCCTCCTTAATTTGTTCACCGTAATTTGAATAAGTGCCTTTAATTACGACTGCACCGTGATTTTGACCTTTTACGGCACAGTCCTGGCACAGAGCAGCCCGTCTCTGTAACACTCAGTACTGACCACTCAAAGAGACGAAGGCCGCCCGTCCAGGAGCGAGAGTGCCATCTTTCTATTTTTGCTGAGGAAAAGGGAAGCTACCCCTTCATTAGTGGGAGCCGTCACAGTGTTTGGTCGATGTTTATGTCGCACTCAAAATCAGAGTATCTATCTCTCTGACCGTGAGTGTGTGTGTGTGTGTATGGATATGCGTGTGTGTTGATGTTGTTTCTCTACAGGGATAACAGTCCCTGGGCATGTGCTCTTTATGAGTGTGGAAGACCACCAGAAACTGAGGTGGAAAAAGTCATTTCATAACAGCGTAGACGACAAACAATGTCATCTGCACTTTGTTTTATATTTATAACAGGCAGGGATTCGTCTGTGTGGGTACGCAGTCATCCAGGTCATTTATCTGAAGCTGTTGAGTTAAAGTCAACTGGACTTTGTTGGCTGTCCACAAATGAAGAACTGACTCTTGGATGACTGTAGGTGAAAGGTCGTCTAGAAACCCAGTTGACGTTTACTGTCTCACTTTAGATACAGTCGCATTAAATATAATATGTCAGTGATTCCCAACCCTTGACCCGTGGCTCATTAGTGTGCCATGAGATATCATCAGGTGCATTATTGTTTCGTTTTTCTATGTAACTGTGACAGGTAGAACAATTAAATACTCTTACTTCAATTCCTGTGAGTGTAATCAGTTGTGTGTTCAACTAAACAGGCCCCAAGTGTCACACTTAGTCAGTAAATTGTGAGTAAAATGAAACTGTCATTAAATTTTGATTAGATATACCCTTTGGGAAATTTTGTTTTGGGGGTGCATTGTGGGATTGTTCTACTGTCTGGAATAACAGAGGCATCCTTCAAAATAAACTTCAAAAGAGTTCAAATACTATTGTAGGACGATGCTATTGTGTGGATATTCTGTACCTACACCAAATGCGTTCCTTTGTTTTCGTGCACGCTTGAGTCAGAGGTACAGAGTTGCAATTGTTTCATGGAGAACATTTCCAGCCATTCATCTACACGCTGTAACTGTAACTTTACCTGCGTCACACTGGGTTCGGCAGTGACACTGCTGGACATCTTCAGACCTTAGAGGGAAGTTAGCAGGCTGGTCAACCACCAGTGGTAAATCACATGATCTGCACTCATACAGTGGTTGTATGACCATTCAAAAGAGTTTTACACTACAAGTCATGCCATCTACCTGGGGGTGGCATACTGCCTAACAGGTTTGGATCACAACCGACAACCCTCCAGACCTCCAATTTTGCTTGTTTTTTTGTACTACTCGATCATTGCATCTTTAAACCCCAGTCTGATTTAAACTCCCCACCAGGCAGTGACCTCCTGCTGTAATATAAATACTGTTGTGATTGCTGCCGTGCGCAGTCCTACCATGGTCTGTGGCCTGTCACATGACACTGTCTTGCACAGCCTCACCTTGGTAGAACAGTTTGGCAGTTTAAATCCCCAGCTACAGCTGTTTGTGTTTCAGCAACGTTAATGTAATCATACACCTGACTTTAATCCTACAAAATCTCTGACTTGGTGCAAGTGTGCCTGCAATGACAGACGCTGTTGTGAAGGCGGAGCTTAGCAGGTGCTGTGGCCCGATGTTTTGGTCTCCAGGAAGAATCTTCGTTCAGCGAATAGTCTGCAGGTCAAGTTTTTTTTTCCCACTGTAGGAAATTGGTGTTAAACACATAATTAGCTTCTCTAATTAACTTCATGGACAGCAGCCTTCTCTGACAAAGAAAGGTGCTAACTTCAGTGGGAAATTACCCACAATGCTGCTGTAAGACACTATGCTGACCATGTGTCCAGTGTCCGCCTTGACGACTTTCCAGTTAATTGAGGCCATGAATGTCAGCCCTGCTGTCACCGTGGGACCAGTGTGTATACTCTGTTAACTCTGGGCTGCATGCAGCTGGATGTGTGTGTGCGTGTGCCAGTTCCGCAGTGAATTGTGGGTAAGTTGTCAGAATTGTTACATGTCTTTTCCCTCAGAGAGACACCCTTCAAGGTGGCAGGAGGCCTGGTCTCACACTGTGTGTGACAACAGTGTGTGTCTCATTCACAAAGCCCCTGTCTGAGGGGATCTCCCTCCCTCACCCTCCCTCACCCTCCCTCACCTTCAGTCCCACTCACTCTCTTTTATTCATGCTCCTCCACCCACCTCCTCTCGTCTCCTTTCCTCTCCTTTCCTCCACTCCATTTCATTTGTATTCTATTCTTAGCATCGCTCATCTCTCTCTCTCTTTCTCTCTCTCTCTCTCTCTTTCTCTCTCCCCTCTTTCTCTCCTTTGTCGTTTATTCTTATCCTTCTTTTTTTAATCTCATTGTATCTTCTTCCCCTGTTTTGTTCTCCCTTAGCGAGACGTGGCAAACTAAGGCGGCAGCGATAATCCTTTTACAGTGCCGCCAATCAACACACGGATAGAGGGGAGTAGAGGGAAGGTTTGCAGTGAGAGGGAGCAGTTTTAATTCACTTAGCTCAAACTTTGACAGAGTGAGGCTGGTGAGCACAGAGCCAATATTTTTCTTTTCTTTTTTTTGTGTGTGCTTTATGCAGCATTTGGCAGATGACATTATTATTGAATGGGCCTTTGTTTATTTAAAAGCCACATTAAAAATAGCTGCTGTCGTGGAAATAAATAAGTAAAGCGAGAGCGCGCCGGCGGCTCCATAAACTCCGCTCACTTCTCTATGTCACGTCCAACATGGCTGTCTTCCTGTTATTTTCCACACTTCCTGCCTATTGTCTGCATCCATTGTTCATCTGCGTCACCCCTTCCTCGTCTGCGGAAAAGACCTGTGACTGCTGACAACAGTGGGCAGAAATGAGACCTAACTGAGTCACAGGAAACTGTGGAGCAGATCGCAGCACATGTTCAAGATGCTGGTTTAGATTGTTGAGAGGAATCAAGGAACCACTGGCAGGAAAATCCGCTACAAGATAAACAAAAACCAAAGAATCTAAATCTAATCTCCCTCAGAATTTGTATTTAAATTTCTCTTTATTTGGAGGTAATGTTGCCTTCTACCTATAATTGTTCAGTTTTCCACGGTGCTAGTTGTTATTGTGGGGAAAATGAAGAAGTGGAAAATGGTTCCTTTAGGTGGCAGTACTGCACATTAACAATTGCCATTTTGTGTTTGTTCAGTCACCTTCTACTGCTTAATTGGCTTAGCTTAGCCACATGTTAGTTGTAAATCTTTTTTTGAATTTAATTGTATGTAACCAATTAACACCAAGAATCAAGAATTCTTTATCATCAGATGACGACTTCAAATTGAGGCACAAAATATTTTTTTTTAATATAAATTCAAAACCAACAACAAACAGACCACGAATGTGCATATAAAAAATTAAGAATATAAGAATGAGAACAGCAGATGACGTTGGGTAATTAACAGTATCACCAATTGCAGGACAGATATTCATAATGGTACTTTATTAATCAAATAATCCTAAATAAATAGCAGAAAAATAGTGCAAAGAACAGTTGAATGCTAATGTAATATTTTGTTCTTGTGGAAAATATTTTAAGCGACCCACCTAATTAAAATGTATTGAAAACAGTAGTGTCCAAAATTGCAAAGATTTCCTTTTGAACAGGAAATCCAGAATTGTTGATAGAACCTGCTGATAGAGAGGCTGCAGTACAACAGAAGAGTTGATGGTGTTTTAACAGTGTTCAGTTCTGATATTGTTCAGGGCACAGACACTCTGGCTGTAAACATGGCTGCCAGTGGGAACATGAGCAAAAACAGATTTTATCCACACAATAAAATGACTAACCTAATAAAGTGGGTGGCTGCTCAATATGTTCGCTGCGTCTGTGGCCAGTGGTCTCTGAAAAAAGTAACAGTAGAGTAACGTAAAAATATGCAGATTTGCTTAACTTCCCTGTGGTAACTTAGGGCAATTTCTTTATTCAGCTTGGTTTTTTTTTTTTTTTTGTAAATTGGAATGATAAGAGGAAGCGTCGTGATGGCTCACTTAAAAAGCCCTAACTATCCCTTTAATCTGCGTCTAGCTGTGTTTGTGTGTGTGTGTGTGTGGGAGGAAATTAATTTTAACTGCCCAGGGTGTGTGAAGGTGACATCCTCCTTAGTCCAAGTTTAAAATGAGCTTTTTCATTTGCCATAATGCTGGGAGTAAATCTCCCTGAGGCCCGTTCAACATTTATTACTGTGGTCTGTAATTCACAGAAAAAAAAATCCTCCACTTCTCTTAATTTGCAGTTGTTTGGGGACAGTGGTGGCTTAGTGGTTAAGGAAGTGGTCTTAGGTCTGGAAGGTTTCAGGTTTGAGTCCCCACACACTGCTCCCCGGGCGCTTAAAGCTGCCCCCTGTTTGCTTTGGTGATAGGTTAAAAACAGAGGTCACATTTGGTTGTGTGTGTGCAGTGGTGTGCTGTGTCACAATGACAAATAATAATACACTATTTGAGATGCTGCAGGTTCATCCTTAGAGTGTTTGTAATGTTCTCATCCATGTTTTCCCACTAACACCACTGTCCCTCAGGTAACTTTCACCCCTATCTCACCTACATTTATTAATCCCCTCCTCTAACCAATCAGCAGGCAAGAAGAAGGAGCTCCGGCTTCCTTCTTCCTGTTTGGATGTGGTTATCAGTGACGTGCAGACAGTGGGGGAAACAAACGGGATGGTGGAGCCGTCCACCTCCAGCTAACGCCCCTCATACATCAGGTTAATCTGGGGGAGATGCTCGCTGACCTTCTCCTTAACCTGTTCTTAAGTAAGCATATGGCAAGCTGCTCCTTAACCTCGCAGGATTAAAAACATAATCCAGTGTCTCCACCCTCCCTCATTCCCTCCCTCCCCGTTACAACTCCCGCAGTCGGCGTCAGGCTGATGTGCTGAGCTTGGACAGCACAGCAACAGAGACTGAAAACAGACATTAAGTATTCTGCTGCTGCAGAGTCGGCGGTCAGTGTGGAGCCAAATCACCTTGTCCCCCTCCCTGAGGATGGGAAGATACAGCTGGGGACGAAATCATAATTAAATAAATTGGATTAATTCTATATAAAGTCGTTCCAAAGTCGACTTTAACACCAACGCTTCTGAACACGTCTGAATTTTTTACAATTATTATTTATTAATTATTAGCTTGGTCTTGGTCTAAAAGTGTTTTGTTATTTTAATGACATTTCTCACTAAGCTTTAAGACATTTTGTTTACATTCCAACCTTTTAGATTATTTGAAGTCAGTCAGTTACGGTTATAACACTGTTGTCATACACAGTAAATTTGGATGTATTTTTAATTACTAAGACACATGAATATTGTAAACATGACAAAACAACATTTTGTCAGTGACGTTTTTCCCAGTGAAGAGTTTTAAGAAAACATCAGTTACTGGTTGATGTTTTTCAGATTTTGTAAAACTACTCCCTCTATCTCTGTTCTTTTGAAATACATTTACAGAATGCAGTGAAAACAGACATAGAAGCCTTTCTGCTTCTTCTTCTTCTTCTTCTTCTTCTATTATTAGTTGCCATAAAATAGTGAGTTGCACTTATTTTTGCTGATTATTCCTCCAGGTTCCCCGGCTGCTCCTGTTACCGTGACGACCAACAAACACAAGGTGGAGGTGCGCGAGTTCTCAGGTAGGTCTGGTTAAAAAAAAATAAAGTTCTGAAGTGCAGATGTCACCTCGTCTCACATCTTGCTGCCAGAATAAACACTTAAAGCTGTAAATAGATCAATGAATAAATACAGGATGAAAGCTTTTACAGCTGTGCAGTAAACCTCTCACTCTCCTCCTCCTCCCCTGATTCAGACGCTGTCCTGTCTTGCACGTTCCGCACAGAGCGGGACCAGAGTCCACGCATCGAGTGGAAGAAGAAGGGGAAGGATGTTTCCTTCGTCTACTTCGATGGACACTTCAGAGGTGATGGCGCGGCCTGTCTTTATTTGCACCCTCACTGACAAACAGAGCCTTGGTTTTAATCAGGCTGCCGTTCATTTCTATCCACCGTGAGCAGAGTTTGTCCACAGTGGATGAGATGAACAAACAGGATGATAATTTGTGGAGACAGGGATGATGGATGAAGTCTGAGAGACGTTCTGGCACTGACTGTGACAGTCGCGTATTTTACCTTTACATTTTCTTCCCCAGCCTTTGTGGGCAACAACGCCACTTCCATTCAATCTCTTCACGGATTAATTTATTCAAACGCTCAACATCTTTGTGTGTGTGTGTGTGTGTGTGTGTGTGTGTGTGTGTGTGTGTGTCAGAAGAATCAGTAACTGGGCCACGGGCCTCATGAAAATGAATTATACGTTGTGTCATTTATGAGTTATTACAGCCTTAAAACACCAAAGGGCTTCTTGACCTCTGCTGGAGCTTTGCACTGTGGTCCATTGGCTTCAGAAGTTGGCAACAGGTCAAAGAAAAATGTGTCATGACCATCATGAACATAGCTGTTCTGCTAACTACTTTGGATGACACGCTGAAATTGGAAAATTGAATTAAAAAAATTAAAAAACACAGATGTGAAGTAATAGAAAAGCGCAGTATGATGACCCTTCAGTTGGGGGCTCTGCCTTCTTCTTGCAAGGATATATATTTCTACGTCATTTTTTGGAGCTCCAGAGATGTTTCGATTGATTATCTTCCAAGGAAAAGTGTGAAATCCCCATTAAGTTTATCAGCACTGGTGAAGTCAGTGATGCCTTCACATACCAAGGCTAAGAGCATGGATTTGGAATTTGTTTTCTTTTCACAATCACCTGTTCGGAGGAAGTAGAAGAAGCTTGATTTGATTAACATATATTTGTTCATTTTTTAATAAATTAAATATCTGGAGACATTAATGCACAAATATACTGCATTCAAAGACATGATTAAGTGCATCTGAAAAGATTAATCAAACGAGTCGTCTCTGAAATCACACCTTCACTCTGTTGGAAAAATGATGAATAATGAATGATAGGAAATGAATGTGTATTTGACCAGGGGTGTCCAGTAACTAGATGCTGACCAGTAAATTGCATAAATAATAAAATACAAAAATAGGAATACAATGTTATAGTGCGTAGTGACCATTTACTGTTGGAACTGAATCATTGTGCCATCGCGCTTCATGCATTTAATCAGTACATTCAGTTTATGAATAAATTAATAAATGTGAGTTTAATGTTTTAACTGTAGATCACTGTAGCATGGCCGTTTGAATTGTAGCTCCCAAGTCAGAATAATGTGGACATCCCTGTACTACAGACTGTTGCTCAAATTTCTACCTACTAAAAATCCCACCGGCTACTTTCCTCTGACCTTCTTAAGGTAACTTTGACGGCCGAGCCACCATCGACGGGGCCACGGTGACCCTGCTGAGGGTGACCCAGGAGGACGCAGGAGAGTACCGTTGTGAGATCAGTGCTCCTCTGGACTCTGTCAGTCTGGGAGAGACCAATGTCACACTCAAAGTCCTGGGTAATAAAGCAAAATAAACAGATTGAGAAACCTTTGTCCATTCTGTGTCTTTGTCTGCCTAATGTTTTTTTTTTAAATTTTTACTGGACTCATTTCCTCAGTTCCACCTCACACACCATCCTGTGAGATCCCCAGTTCAGCGGTGACAGGATCAGTGGTGCAGCTGCGGTGTCGAGACCGTCAGAGCATCCCCCCTGCTAAATACACCTGGCTCAAGAACAGCGTTTCCCTGAGTCTGCCCCGCAGCACCAACGCCACCTATCTCATCGACCCAGACACAGGAGTACTGGTGAGAAAGTAATGCTGCACACGTTAGTGACTTCATCTGCTGATGTTGGGTAGTTTATAAAGTTAGGGGCGGCGAGTTTTTTTTATTTTTTTTATTGGTTCCACTCCTCTGAACTGCACTGACAAAGTTTGGAAGCCACTGGTTTATGGCCTCATTTCCAGTTGCTTTGCTGTTAGGACGTGGTGTCAGATTTGAAAACATAAACCCATTAAGAGCAGATTAGTCAATAAAGCGTGACCTTGAAGATCAATAGGAGCTAGGTTCTAGGCATCATCATCGTCAGCGTGTGTGGTCCAGTTGGGCAAACTCTCTTCCATCATGCTTTATTTTGTCATTTTCCTCAACCAAAGTGGTGGTCCGTTAAACCAATCTTCAATAAGTGATTAATTAATATCATGAACTGATGATGACAGAGGCTATGTTCATTTTATATTCACTAAGTAAATGGAGCTGAGGAGGAAGCACAACAGCAACTATGTAGTAATGATTGATTCATGACGGCTGCAAACAGTTTTACTTCTGTCGCTGAAATAACAGGAAACTCTCCCAGAAGGTTTACATCCGGTGTCTTTAAACTTCCCCTTTTTTGCTCTTTTTGCAGGAATTCAAAGCCGTTAGCAAAGAGGACTCTGGTCATTACAGCTGCCTGGCATCTAACGGGGTCGGACCCCCGAAGATGTGTGAGGGCAAGCACATGACCATAGGTGTGTGTGTGTGTTTTGTCTTGTGTCTTGTGTCAAACCAAATGTTTTTATATCGCAGCAAAGACAGAACAAACAGCATGTTTTAATTATACTTTAAATGTGAAATGTTTTGAGCTTGTTAATAAAATGTACTTGAGGTTAATGGAGGCATCCATTTTATGCACTTTATAAATAATAGGATTCATTAAGTGAGTACAGAGAAAGGCGTTTTACAGTTGTATTAAATATGACGAGGTCTTTTATGCTGCTGTCTGCTGCTGTATTTATGGAAGCAAATGCACCTCCTGGGGAATTGAGTTGTTATTGTCTTCACCTTTTTTTTTTACCTCCGTCTTCCAGAGGACGTCAACGTCACAGCCATCGTGACAGCAGTGGTGGTGGTCTGCCTGGTGGTGTTGATATGTGGCTGCGGCGGCGTCCTGCTGCACCGCAATGGTTTCTTCAGCCGTGAGTGTCTCTTTCCTTCTTTTCTGACTTTTCTTCACTCCCTCAGTCCTGTGACATGGACTTCACTGTATTAGTAATTAGAGATAATGACTGGGAAATAAATGTGACTTTCACTTGTATGTCTTTTTTTTTTTTTCTCCCTCCCCCCCGTGATCCTCTCTGACTCGTCCGTCAGCAGGACACAGAGGAAGGTAAGAGCTCTGTGATTGCATTAACATTGATGTGGACAAACGCTGGCTAACACACTACACACTCATGGGGTGAGGGCGGGGGCAGGGGTGAGGTAGGGGGTAGAGGGAAGGGTTGTTGCTGCACTTTAGGCCGCGTGTCTGTGTGCTGACTCAGGACTGTATGGAGTGACAGCTGTGGCAGTGTTTTGTGTGTGTGTTTGAGCCACAGCAGCGCCTGTTTGTTTTCCAGCTGTGATTGGCGCCAACAGATGATAAGTCATGAAAAAAGCTAAAGAGAAGTTCATTTTTCAGTGCTGATTTTACCTGTAGTTAAAACATGGTAATCTGCCTTTTAAGGTTCATCCCAACGAGAATTTCTAACCCTGCCTTTTTAACCCGTGTTCTCCCTGTGGTCATTCTGACCCCCCGCCCCATAATTTTTACTTTCACCTATTGTAGCAATGTTTTATGTAATCAGGATCTGTATACCATACAATTTCAAGAGGAGGGATTTGTTTTTGTGGTAACGAGTTGGGCTGCGGTAAATATAAAATTGAAACACGGAATTAGTGACAGTTTATATTAATTACTTTAAATAATGACCATGGGGTCATTTTTCACCCCAGAGGACAGAAGGTGTTGGCATTCAGGATGCTGCCGTGCGCGTATTTTGCAAATCTTGATTTCAGGGACAACATTTTTACTGTAATTAAGAAAATGTTGATATCAGTCTGTACTTTCAGTCGTTCTCTCTTTGAAAATTAACTGATTGTGTCTCCTATGGTGCTTTAAACATTATAAGCCTCTATAGTAGTAGGACTTCTGACAGCCCTGCTCTAGAATATAATTTTCCTTGTGTCCCTGCTGGAAGACATATCTTCAGTGAACCACAAAGCAAAGAAAAAAATCGAACTATTCCTTTAAAGGATTAGAAACAATGCATGCAACAAGGTCACTGAGTCATTAGCAGCTGTTAATCTGCAAGAAGGGAAATATTGGCAGCAGGCGGGTGGAAAAAAAACTGCAGGCAATTAAGCTGTGATAAGTAATGGATAAATTAGATCAGAGGTTTTCCAACCACTGGGACCCAGATCAGTACCAGGTCCAGTGTCATTTGGTACCAGTCCGCAGAGAAAACATGAATAACATTTTATTTTCACTTTCAAACACTCTTTACAAATGTCAGGACACTTTTTTTTGTTTTTGAAAATATAAAAAAGACCACAGATATCTATGCAGCTGGACTCACTCACTCCATTTTATTAATCCAATTTGGGGCTTTGTTACCCAGCAGCGCCTGTTTTAATGGAGAGACAGCTCTCCTCAAAGCTGATGCGGATGTTGCTTTTTATTTAATTTTTTTTTTACTAGGTTAAAGTCTTATGGCCCTGCCAGTGATCTAACCAGAGCTGTCACTGTCACAGTCCTATTTATAGAGCAGGGCTTCGTCACAAAAGGCTCGCAAAGACGGTGTGACATGATTTCTGAAGCGCCAATAATCAGGGGAGTCAACAAAGTGGCAGGAAAGATGTAGAAGGTGGTTTGGTCTGCAGGAGAGAAATGAACAGTCACTGAGTGATAACACGGCTGCTGCAAGTAGAACAAGGAGACAATACACTGACTTTATCAATTTATTTCAAGAAATAAATGTCTGTGTACCATACACTTGGTGACAGACAGTGCTAAGTACATCTTTAGCCTTGGATACTTATATACATATTCAAAAAAAAAAGATTTAAACACCAAAGTTACAAAATCCTCTTATTAATTTTTTTTAAGACAGCATTGGATAATTCACTCCTATATCCTATCTTTTAAGAATCACATTTTTTCTATGGGCTTCTGTGTAGGAGAATGATGAATGAACTTTTTCTTAGTGGTTTCTTAGTGAAGAAGACTATTAATTGGAAAATTTGATTAAATAAGATACCAATAGACAGACTGAAGCAGATTTTGTTTTCCATCATAAAAGTTTTCAGTTCAGTGACTCAAATCTTGTTTTTGACTCATGTTTCAGTAAGCCTCCAGCAGAACTCTAAATATCCCTTCAAATATCTCTTTAAATGTTGCTTTAAATAAAGTCATTTCAGGGCAAAAATAATTCAACAGAATCCAATCCTGTGCTATATTTTCCACACAGAGGACTTTGATATCTGTGGGTTGTTGGTTTGCTGCATGTGTTGGCTCACCTGAGCTTTGTTTGGCTCTGCTGCTAAATGATAACTGGCTGCATGTTTTCACGGCCCTGACATCACTGCCGAAGAATGATGATCAAAACTGTGTATAAACATTTAGTGTTCACTCGTAATAAAATAAAATAGTTAGACCAACAATATACCAAAAACAGGCAACTTAAATGATGCACGTTTATGAATAATTGATAAACAGTGCAGGCTTTTTTTGTTGGTTTACTGGCTAAGAACATCTCAAGAATTAGTTTGACACGCATTTGGCCATAAGAAATCATTGTCTTGGTAGAAACATCTTTTATTTTTATGTATGGACCAAAGTTTATAAGGCAGAGGTTTCCAACCTTTGGCCCGAGGGCCACTTCCAGCCAGCAAACCTTTCACATCCTGTCCATAATTGAATATTTCAATTTTGTTTTTAATAATATTTAAATTATTTTCAATTGTTTTCCTTTCAATAATTAAACTAATAATACTTTATTTGGTTGTTTAAGAATGAGGAATAGTGAATAAATAATAATAATAATAATAAATACCTGAGACTAATACAGCATCACTTCATCATTGTAATAATAAGCATGGTGTGCAGTGAGAGTCCAAACATGAATGACACCACCTACTTGACCCATTGTGAAGCCAACAACAACAACACACTGGCCCTTTCAGGTCCTTTTGGATCTCGCAGTGTCACGGTGCAGCCCACATCAGCAGCCAAACCCTGCACAGAACAGAGGACACGTGAGTGTTTGTGTGCACAGACCAGAGAGAGATACAGTACATTGTTTGAAATGTATTCACACAGCGCAGTCTTGGGTTTAAACTGTAGGATTCCTGAATAGACATAGTCCAGACTGTGGTCAGGTGGGTTAAGGGTTAAATTAAGTTTAGGCTGGTTGCTGGTAAATGGTATTCTCTGTTGGAAATCCATCACACCAAGGTCCATAGAGAATGATTCATTTTAAATCTCTACACATGGAGTTATTGACTTGCTGCTGCCTTAATCTGTGTTCAGATGAAATATTTTGTGTCTTAAATGTCTGAAACCCTTTACATAGATTTACCACAATAACACAAACTGAGCCAATTTCTCAGCATTAGACCAGGAGCCACTATATTGTTGCAAGACAAAAAATGTGCTTTTTCTCAATGGGCTTTGGTACAGGAGAAAAAAAATCATTTTACAAACTTTCCACTCTGTAAAGGCTTTTTTATACCTGCTGTCTGCTCACATCTTAGCATTGACTTTCTGTCAAATCACACTCCATTGCATTCAGTGCAAATGTACCTCGACGTGATAGAAATCAGATATAACCCTCCCTGAAAGATCTGATCATAATTAGCCTGTTCAATTAGCATTCTCTGAGTAATTAAAAAAAACTGCGTTAACTACACCCCTACAGTCCTGACTGCACAGTGTTCTGTTTGGTTTTCGGTTGCGTACAAAAGTCAAAGTATCTCAGCCTCTTCTTTACTTCCGGACATACAGTATATACAGTATTATCAAATGTCCCGTGTCCTCCAGGGCTGTGTCCAGATTTATTCTGTCCCTGCTCACTCAGACTTTTACCCAATGGCAACGTTGGCCCATGTCTGATGTGCATTATTTATAAATGCGGGCTAAAATATGAGTCAGGATACAGCTGTCTGCCTCAGGTTTCCCGTCTCAAACTGTCCCATGTGCTCACACTACCTTTGTCTTTCAGGTCCAATGTCAACTATGTCCCTCCGACTCAAGAAGTGAGTCCTAATTTCCCTGTTTTCTCATCTTGTGTCATTCATTTCACTGCCGCCATTTTACACTTCCCTAATTAATGCTGCTGTGATTCTGATTGGAATCATAACAGCGTCACCTCTAGGCGACATCCAGAGTCATAACTCTGCAGCAAGTGCAGGATTACAGCTAAGATCTTAAAGGGACAGGACAGTTTTATTTTTAATTATTATCCTTCATTTAAACAGGAAAAACTTAAAAAATCCTGATAATTATCAGTTGTTCAAGATATTATTTTAAATGGATGTTTCTCAAATGATGGTGGTTCATGGACTACTCAGGGGCCATTTTAGTGGGTTTTTATGTGGCCCATGATTATGCTGATAAATGATTATATTGATTTGATCTTTTTAACTTCATTTAATCTAATTTTGCTGATGTTTAGCTATCTCATCATACATATGTGTATATATTAAATATGTTTGATAACTATATAAGGGATTAGTTATAGATTATTCCAGACATTTGTTTAACTTGTGGTTGATTTTTTTATTTTTTTACTTAAATGTGAAAAATATTTAATTTTCAAAGATTTAGTCTGAGTGCCTCAGAACCACACATAAAAACCTAATCTATGCTTTTAATATAATAGAAGACAGATATTTGAAGATGTAATAATTAATAATAAATAATTTATGTTTTTCTCACTTTGCAGCCCCAGGATTTTAAACACACCCAGTCGTTCATGCTCTGAGAGGCAGGCCTTTCACTGAGAACACACCATCCTTGAAAAGGTGCCAACACTGGATTTATTTTGAGATTTTTTTTTCTTTCCGGACCGACGACGAGCTCTTTAACTTCCAGGACGTGATCATCTCGAAGTTCCTCCTCTTCTCCTTGTGGGTGTGTCATGAATTGACACGGCGTCTTTACATCCTCCAGCTTTTCTGTGTGATTTCACCACTGTGACTGATGCTCTTGTGAAATTCAAGTAGTTTTTTTTAGCTTTCTGCCTCCCCCTAGTGGTCCAATGAAGAACCTACAGATTGTTGTCTTGACTGATCCTGAGACCAGAAGAGACCTTGAAACCTTTTCCTCCCCTCTGCAGACTAGTTGTTTGAGCTTAAATAGTTGAATGACCCTCACAGATATTTATGTTGGAGCAAAACATTCATCAATCATTGCGAAATAACAATTATTACAACAAAAGGAACACGTTTTGGGCTCGTAGACCATGCAATAAAATTTTGTGAATTTTTGCCCAAAAATACATTTTTTAAAATCTGTGTTCTGGAAGAGTTGACAACAACGTTATTGGAGTAACTTTTTATCACAGAGACTTTAAAACTGGTCATTATTGACACAAATCCTTGTGATTAAAAGTTATACATAAACCTGTAAGATGTGGCATCAGACCTAACAATTATTCTGATGCCTGCTGTAATCCCTGCTTCAATTTATCTTGTCAAAATTTGACCATTTTGACATTTCTACAGAGCCAAATAGTTAGACAAAGTATGAGGTACGTACAGTTCTTAATCACCATCATATTTTCTTGTATCTCCTCACCTCTAACTTTTTTCCTGAACTCTCCAAACTATATCCTGCAGTCGTCTTCTGGCGCCTGAGTCATGGTCACATGAAGCCCAGATAAGTGTAGGGAGGTGCTTGTACCTATTCAGTGCTGCCAGAAGCCCTAGTCCCACTGTTTTTGTTTACCAAAGATTGTTTAAATTGGGAGGTTTTATTTTGGAAACTCACTGACGACAAGATTTCTGGTAAAGCCATAGATAGAGCATATCACTTTTGTCAAACAGAACTACAACATACCTCAGCCCATCGTTCTCTGTAAACAACTTTGGGGTCAATACAAAAACCACACTAAGCCAGTGGTGGAGAACAGGAAGAAACTCCAGCCATATCTAACGAGACCAACCCCATTCCATCCTAATGTGCCTGCATGGTCTTTTGATACAAACAAAAACATATATATATATCTAAATATATATATCTATATACCTTGTGCCTTTTAATTTGTCTGTCATTTATCTATGGTCACAGTTTTTTGTAAAGAATTTGCCTTACTTCTTTTCTGTCTTTATATTTTTGTGCCACTGTTTATTGATGTATATCAAAAGCAGAGTGTCTGTTTATAGACTGTGTGAATGGAGTGCTAAGAGTTTTATTTGAATGGTGTAGCAGGAATAAAGTTTTTTCTATACAAAACTATAAGTTTCCACAATATTTCTCAATGCACACAGAACAGCGGACCCAATATTGTAGAAATGCCACTATGAGCACATATCTCTGTAGTACGTTAGAAACAGAAACATAATTAAAATATAGAACAGTAAGTAAGTTTGTTTATTTTCTCTGTATTGCAAATATTAAAATGAACATTTTAAATAAGCAAGTAAAATATAAATATGCTTCCTTATAGTTGGAGAATGATAGAAAGGGGCAGAAAACCCATTTAAAATTATTCTAACATTTAATATAATGTGATCTTTTTCCTGATGTAGTAACATTGTAAGTGTATTATTATTATTATTATTATTATTATTATTGTAATAATATATCGTGCTGTTATATCTTTTACAAATGGAAGATGTTGACGAAGCTGAATTAAAGGAGAAAGATTAAATTTCAAAGTGTTGAAATTAAAATGTTAAAAAAATAGAGTGTTCTTAAACCCACATTTGTTAATAAAAAAATATAGAGATTTGATCTATGAAAAGTCAGTAGAGGCTGGTGACGTAGTTTCCGTGAACACTTCCGTTCCAGGGTCGGCGCCATGTTCCCATAAACCCTAGCGGCTTCTGTACATTCTGGTTCCGTAGTCGAAGAGTGTCAACCCAAGGTGAGTTGCACGGCTAACAAATGCGTTTCTATAGTTTCAGCCCCTGTCGCCGTGGCAGCTTAGCATAGTGTTATATTTTATAAATAAAACTTACGCTGTTAATGCTGATCCGCATCAAACAACGCAGGGACACTTTCTAACCACAGTTTGGCTTCAAGTAACTAGCTTAGCTTGTTAGAACTAGCAGAAAGGTTGAGGCAACCCGGACAGCGTGCACCTTAACTGGCTTGTACTGAATAAAAAACATTAAAGTAAATCAGGATAAATTGTGTATCTAAATGGTGATGTTTTTAACCTTTACAAATACATTTTTTTTACCTTTTAACACTGTTTCGTGTTCAATGTCAGGCAGCTAACCGTACGACCTGATCCTGTTATAGCTTAGCACAAACATCGGTGTTATAAAGCTAGATTTCAGGACATACGACTTAGAAAAGTGCTGCTTTTTAAAAATATGTTTCTGAATCATCATTGAACATCATAAGCATTTCACGATCAGTAAGTCGCACTAAGAAATTAATAAAATTAAAATGATCAATTATTTGTATTACAAATATGAACCAATCATACAGTAGATGCGGTGCAGGAAGGAAAGACAAAACAAATAAGAAAAGGATCTTAGTCTTTAATCAATGCATCTCTGAAGCTTTAATTTATTGTAAAGTTTTCTGGATGATGTATAATTTACATTATCCAGAACAAGGGTTGATTTTCTCTGCTGCTACAAACGGATTAACCAGTGATCTACCTCCTTCTTCTATTCATTACTTATTGCATCTGATCATTTCTTTATTTGTTTTAGAAATCATTATAATGTAGTGTACAGTTTGTTTTTCAGACAAAGTGAAGAACTTCTGTATTTTGATCTGTATATAAACAGTTTGTCTATGTTGAACCCCTCCATTCTGGCAGTGTGGGTCAGATGCCCATTTTGACCCTGTGCCAAACAGTGTTAATGCCGGGATTCTTTTGTCCAGATGTCTGTTCATCGGTTGTTCCATCTGTCCTCTTTGCTGCGCTCTGCTGTGAGCCTCACCCTGCGCAGGAACATCGGCATCTCTGCTGTTGTCTTCAACCGTGCCAAAGAGCTTGACCCTGTTCAGAAGCTCTTCCTGGACAAGATCCGTGACTACGCAACCAAGAGCAAGTGAGTAATAACCTCCATCACTGATGTGGAACCACTGTTTAGTGGTTAATTTTGATTGTCAATCTCCTGGTACATTAAAATGATACTGAACAGTATAGTTTTCCACCATTCCAGGGCTGCAGGTGGCATGGTTGATGCTGGACCTGCGTTCCAGAAGGACATGTCTGATGAAGTGTCCAAACTACAGAGATTATACGGTGGAGGAGACATGGAGACATTTCCTGCCATAAAATTCACAGGTCAGTTGCTTGAAACTTATTGGGTTTTAAAAACCAAAACATGGATTAATTTCGGACAAATGCCAGCAAAACTACTATTTTTTTTTTTTTTTGTTAGTTAGGAAGAATACATAAGCTATTTAGAGCTAAAATATTTTAGGAAATCATTAATAATGTGACAATTTTTTTTTTATACTTCTTAAAACGCTTTGACCAATACATATAAAAAAACCTGACTGACCTCTTTTCAAAAAAGTACAATATTACTGCTAATACACAAAAAAAGACTTTTGCCTTCAGAATGAAAGTCTTGCCCTTTGTGATTTGCTTTATTCTGACAGTAACATTTTTATTCATGGTGTGATTTGTCATCACTTATCCACTCATCACATATTGTTGTGTTTACTTCCTCAGAGCCCAAACTGGAGGAAGTCCCCAAGTAAATGAATTCCTAGTTGTAATTTCTCCTCTATGTCACCACTTTGTTCTATTTAAAAAAGAATAAAAATGCTCATAAAAACAAAATTGTTTTCCTTTCTGTTTCAAAAGAACACAAGTAATAAAAAAATGTTTTAATAAAATAACTACACAACTGTTAATCATCAAAAAGTCAAATTAATTTAACTTCTATGACCTACATCACAAAACAGACTTTGCTTGAATGGATTTTACATTGAAAAGAAAATTACTACTTAAAAGAGAAGGTCAAAATAGTGGTTAACAAATTGGGTCAAAAATATTTAGGAATGTGTCATAAATGCTAAAGTATTTCCTAAAGGTCATTGTGTGTACATACATTAGAAGTATTTATCAGTATTAAAAAATATTCTAAATTCTTATCTTATTTAATTGCATAAAAATGTAGAGAAAACGTTTCTTGGGTGTCAAGCTCTTATACTTTATTTGATCTGTTTTTTCACCCCTCATTTCTAAATCAGAACAAATCTGTTTTGTTTTGTTTTTTAATATCAAATATTCCCCCTTTAATGTGTTTGAAAAACGATTGAAGCTCTACTGGGCAACAGGTTAGGAGGCTTCACGTACGAACGTTGCATGCCCACAACAATGTGGCTTACATCCTTTTCCACATGTTCAGATGTAACAAAAATTAAGGTTCCAGGTATAACAACTTCCTATATTATGCTAAAGCGTAATTTGTATCTCTAGTTCAACTTTAGTATAATTTTGTTTTTTTTCCCTTCTTCATAATGAATTCGAATGCAGATCATAGAATCCTTGGCATATTTAAATACATTTACAAATTCGTAAGGAGGTGTGGTTTAGCAGAGGAACTCAATTCCACATTGATTGGGTTGTACAACAAACAGGTATTTTTTTTATATCTTTCCTGCATGTTTCTCATCAAATAAGAGCATTTTGAAAAAAAAAAAAGTTTTTAGAATTTTTTTAAAACATATTGGTAAAATAATATTTTTGCATGTCATATCATCAGATTGTGAAAATATTTTTTTTTTCAAAATTATAAGTTTTCTTGCACGTTTCTCATAAAATGAGGCTATTAAGGGAACATTTGTAAGGCATTTCTGGGACTTTTTAT